CTACGCAGTGCGTCGTTAAGACGTAACCACCGCCGTTTCGCTAACTCGCGGTCAACGAAATCCTGTCGAGAACGAGGTTAGGCTTAACCAGTCGTAATCGTTACACATGTGAGCGATTGATCATCATGGATCGCGTGCATCGATGCTTATGGTCGCCGATATTATGGCGTCAAATCTTTGTCAAATATATAGCTAGTGCAAGACCCTCGCGATGGCATGCGCATCACAACGCAACCGGGAAAATCTTCCGCACGCGTAAAGCCGAATTCGCGCGGTAGGCAGGTTTCACCACTGACTCGAAAATGGTCCAAATCAGCAATTTTTTGGGTTTTCGGGTTTGTAGCGTAGAACTTGAAGCTGTGCATGCCACGATTTTCGTAGTTCACAGCTGAATTTAGAGTATGATCTACCAGAGGACCTTAGGAACATATTGCCCGAGTTGTAACGTTGCACAAACGTTGTACAAATTCACAGCTGTGGCCGGGGACTCCTCCAACCGTAGCGGAGGTCCATTTTGACCCTCCAGACCTACCAACTTCCTACTTGAGTGATCGAATTCACTGTGAATTGACAGCTTTCCGAAAGCTTCCCGGAAACCCGTACTATTGAAATTTCGATCGACAAATTTGAGGCCCCGTCACTGACAAATTTGAGGCTCCGTCACTCTCGTCATTCGGATCGATCGCGAATCACCGGCAGAATACACTGCAGCCTACTGTCAGTGAATCTCTCGAAAACCGTCAGGCCGCGCCCCCTTACTTGGACGCGTTGGAGCGTTGTGATGGTGGCCATGCATGATTAAGAGGGCTGGCCAGGGAGCCCGCAACGTAGTTACCATGCATGTATGAGTGAGTCACATGACGAGCCTGTACGGTCATTGCCAAGTAATTTAGGGGCCTAATTAAGTTTGATTGATGCGCCAGTGCGCCCGGCGCGGCCCTTAGCTTGCGGTTGACTTAGGCTTGGCAAAACCAAGGTTCAAAAAAGGGCCGCTCACTCTGCATGATGGGTCCGACCTAGCTCAACGCTCAGCTCGGTCGGGGCACGGTAACTTCAACTTAGCTACTTACATTAATCTAGAACAACGCGATACACAGTGACATCGATGATCGTTGCATGGCATCGCGTTGCAATGACGGTTGGAAGATCCATCATGCTGCATGCAGGCATCATTAATAATTACTAGCTAATGCATGATGATCATTCTCATCGTAGCTTAATTGCATGAGCTTATGTATACCTATATACTATGACATTGAGCTACCTGGCAGTACCAGACAATCTCAATCTGACATACGCGGTTGAACATGTATACGTATTTATAGACAGGAGCAAACCTCTGGCGCGCCCCCGCTTTCAGCGTTAAGTCACAGTTAACTTCAGGCTTGTGGAGCTGAGGCCCTCGGGGTGGTCGCCTCGCCTTAAGATGATGCACGGTGGGCCTGGATCTGATGCAACTTAAGCGATTGGATGCGCCCATCACTCTTGGCCGCGCCGGTTTGTGACTATCGCACTGAGGCCAGAATCCGGAAACGCGGACTACCTTGCTTTCGAACGTACAATCACTGCAAACCTGATCTATATTCCTGCTCGGCTAGCGTCTAGCCTCGGCACTAAGCGTTTCAAGTTACACTGTACAGTCGGACATCTAATACCAAACATTTGACCTGATTGTTGATGGACGATCCGACAACCTATGACTAAGACATACAACACAATCAATTGACTGGAACGTTGAACCTTTTGATGATAAGAGCTTTTCCCCTTATTTTACGTATTCACTAGTGCATCAAACAGTAGCATCTAGCCGCACTCAGCTATCCCCATTGGTCTTTTCGTGCTCACTTCTATCTCCATAAGTTTCCTGAAACGTTTTCCGCCGGTTCAGCAATGCCTTGATGGTGCGCTCCACCCTCTGCTTGTCCCGGGTGGCGAACTGCTCCTTGCGGCTGCCGTCCTGCAAAGGGAGATTAAACTTTAAGTTGACGCCACCACACAGTCTTAGACCAAGTATGACACCGCGACAAACCTTCAATCAACAGCGGGCTCAACCACCATGCGTCCATTAGCCCCTCTATTCAGTCCCGCTGATTCGTGCCCCAACGCGTGACAACGTGCTGGCCTTTCGTTAAGGCACTAACCGCGTGCTACCACTAGGTGAAGCACAAACAGCACATGCAAACCATGCTTGCCCCAGAGCCGGCAGCAGCGCATGCCGGGACTCACCTGGAAGAATGCGAACATGGGCACCATGCGGATGCGGTAGAAGCGGGCCAGGTCCTGCACACGGCGACACTCGACAGATAAGTTGTCGGGCCTTCGACTCGCCACTCATGATGAAGCCTGCACATATTGCACCAGCATGGCGTGCCCCTTGCCAATATATGACGGCTTAGGTACGCCAGCTAGTGCTGATGCTAGCACCTCCCCTACTCGAAGTGGCCACCAAGTCGCAGCCCCCTTGGCAGACCCCGGTTGGCCAAGCACTGAACCGGAACTCGCCTTGCAGCTAGTTAGAAGGCGCAATTGCAGATCGTCGAGAACCGAGCATCCTTGGATTCGCTCACCAAAATTGCCTCAAATCGACTTTCGAGGGTAGAGAGATACCCAAACAAGGTCCGAGACTCATTTAGTAACTTCCGAACTTACACAGTCGACATTGAACAATCAGACTAAACCAGTGTTTCTCTGCCGGTGTCCTTTCCCCCAGTGTCAGGAGAATGGTCTTCTTGCTTGCTGCCGCTCACCGTGAGTTCGTCATACTCGTCCCTCACGTCGTGCTTCACAAAGACGACCCCGCCCATGCCCCCCGCGCCCTGCCCCCCGCTCTTGCACATCTTGACGAACTGCGGCAGGATGTACTTGCACGACCCACACGCAGCATTGTAGAAATCCACCACCACCTGCACAACGATTTTCCCGTTCACACGGAGAGCGCGCAATGAACGAAGATATGGCAAGCTTCTCACATGGACACCGTGTCTATGGGATGGTGCATATTTGGGGTGTTACGCCAGCTCACGTGCCTTGTCGACATTCTTCAATGCAGATCACTTGCACCACGTACAGCTGCCTGCAATGTTCGCCAATTCATGCGGCAATATGGGGTTGGACCAGCCACTCAATGCCAAAGTTGATAGACAATGCTTACTGAGGACTTTTGGGCGGTGCCTTTCGGGTGCGACCAGAGTGTCATCAGCAGCTTCAGATATCTTCACCATTTTGCGCATACTGTCGCAGCCTTTGAAAGATCACACAACTTGTCCTCACAACCGCAAAACCTGCTCGACGCCCACTCCAAAGGGGCAACTACAGGCATCCCACGATTCTGTTTGAGCGCCCAGGTGAAACTCTCGAGCCTGCCGCCATGGGCGTGAGCCTCACCAGGTCGTCGCTGGCCTCCGCTTCGTCGAGCACCTTTTGAAACTCGGCTAGGTTGCGCACCGGCGTGACGCAGTCCACAGGGCACGTCCCGCTGTCCTCCTCCGCCTGCGCCTCCAGCTCCTGCACGCCCCCACCAGATGCAGATTTACTTGCGGTCATGAAACTCTGGATTTTCTGATCTGGCCCGAGGCCAGGATATTGGTTATCAATAGTGACCAGAAGTGGGGCAAAAGACTCACTGCACAACAGATTAAAAACCCGACACCTCCGGCCACCATGATTTTGGACCACATGAGGATCTTGTGACCTTGATTGATGATGGTTACTTAGCAGCCAAAGATGACGGTCAAAGCTGTCCAGGTTGGTCACCCTCAAGGTCAGCGCGTTGGGGCCTCCAAAAAATGGACTTACGAGCTTCGATTGTGAGCCCAGCAACCTCTCTAAAGCACAAACACCCTGGCCGCATATCGATAGCAACAGAGAACAGTCCCTCACCAGCTGGCGCTTGAACGCCTCCTCCAGGTGTCGCCTGCGGTCAATGTTGATCGCTGCGCGCACACCACCCCTGTATCGCCGCTCGCTTCTGCTTGATGCGCATCCAGTTCCGGTTTGCAATATTCTTAGCAAGTGCCCGCCAAAATGATTGGCTGCAGAAAGAGAGTGCGTTCGATCACAGCCACTTTCGCCCTGTAGCTGCTGTGAGGCACACCACTGACTTCTGGGCCCCAATCCAGATGATCGGGACTTGGAGGGCTGCCACTGCCGGCGGGATTGTGCCTGCAGAGGCATGTGCGAGAAGGAGCATCCTGGTGCCTCCGCCGCACCCCGGGTGGGGCACGCGTGTGCAGCACAGCGGAAATTCACAAAGGTTCCTGGCTCAAAGAGGGATGCGGCACGTGTCGCTGACATTGCGCTGGAAGATCAAAAGCCACAGATCTAAAGCAGTTGCCACGAATTCTGGTGCCCCTTTCGATTTATCTGGCTACAGTTGGGAACGTGCCCAACAAAAAGATCAGCTTTGTGTACGCCACAGACCTCTCTAAAGTACTGCTAAACGCATGCAGGAACGCTAGGAATCGAGACAAGAGCTGACCGCCCCGCTTGGAAGCGCCTATGCAACAGGTTTTCAAACTACTCCCACGTTGAGGTGACGGCGGCTCTATTAGTACCAAGACGCAGCAGGAAGCTCTAGAGATCTGCTTTGCCAGCTCGGGCCCGGAAGTGCCAGGCTTTCAGTGCAGCCTTTGCTCGTTGGAGTCGCGGGCCGTCAATGCATATGTGGCCTTTTGACCACGTGGCTGCCACGATGGCAAATATCTCAGAATCTAGGGTGGATGAATTCAACTGCGGGCAGCGTTAACAAATGACTCGGAAAGGCTCAAAGTGGTAAAGGTTCTTCGGGTTTTAGGGTTTGGTTGCCTGAGCAATCATCTACCTAGGGGGCCAGGGCCCAGGGGCATTGAGATCTACCGTACCCTAGGCTTGCAAGTTGCATGTCCCACGAGCCCTGATTCACCTAGTTGAGATGTGGCGGGCGGCACTTCTGCAGCGTTGCTGAGTAGAGAAAGGAATCCTGGCTGCCGTTGAAGTCGGAGATGCTAGCGGGGCTGGCTTGGCAGGCAATGCTGCTCCCCGCTGGCCACGACATTGCTCTGATGCTGGCCAGGGAACCAAGCTGGTCTGCGTACTGGCACCTGTCTCAGCGGGTCCTGTCACGTCTTCTCAGGGCCAGGCTGCTCAGGGAAGCCCCGCCAACGCAAGGCCCAAATCAGAATCTGTGCATACCACCGCTGTTCAGCTTGGCACCACAAGTGGGCAGCCGCGCTAGTAGCGTAGTTGGCTTTTACGGCCGATGTGCGACCACTAGCGATCATGAGATCCCAAGCACACACTTTCCACATGACTACTGGTTGCATGCCCGCCACTTCTCCAGTGGCGCCAGCAGTGGCGGTGGCGGTGCTGTGGAAAGAAGCGCTGCGATGGAGGAGGCCAGGGGGCGGGGGATGGGGGGCCAGGATGGGAGCAGCCGCGTGATGAGCTTCACCGCCGTGCAGGCACATGACCCCACCAAGCTGCACCTCGCAGCCTACCCCAGGTCAGCAGCGGGGCATGGTCTGTCCAGCGGTGACAGACCAGTGTGTCTTGCCACCACCTCTGTGATGCTGGTTCAAAACATTGAAAAGCTGAGAAGAAAAGTTTGGTTAGTGGAAAGTGGGTGGCGACCTGCTTTGAATACAGTCTCTGAGCACTGGATTTTGCGGCCTCAAAGATGTGGATAATCAACGTAGAGAAGCGTGGCGTGCCCTCCAGACCGTGGACAAGGGGGTCCTGACTGCCCATGGGATGACTTGAGGGGGCAGTTCTAAAATCTGGTGGTGCAGTCTGTGCCGTCCCAAGAGCGTACGTTGCTCCTTTCATCCTAGAGCATATGTTGGTGCGGCTCACCCTCCGCCTGTGTCCTTGTCTGGCAGGGTGGTCCTGTGCCGCCTGGCCGGGCTTCCGCTGCGAGACCTGCGCTCCATTGACCCTGCCTTCAAGTCCCAGGTGAAGGGCCGACGCCTCCGCTTACAAAGGGCTTTCTTGTGACCCCTCTTTTGGAAATTTGAATGAGCGCACAGCCTATCTCCTGGGGGATTGGAGCGTAGTTTTGAAAAAAACTCTTTTTTAGTGGAGCTGGGGGGCCTCAACCCCCTCAATGAATAGATGGAGGTTGAAGCTTCTGCCAAGGTTACGCTGCTGGATTAGAGGTTGGGCATTCGGTTCTGGTTCTGTTGACCACCTGATTGACAAAGATGCACACAGAGATTGGGTGCAAACGTGCTTTCATGCGAGAGCAGCCGTTGATCTGCATGATGTGTTGCGATAAGGGGCTTCGACCAATTTGATCCTTCTGGGGAATACCCAGCTGAGTAATTGAGAAACGTTTGTTGGTTCAAAACTTATACACAAGTTTGATGTGCGCCGTCCAAGCAAAGTACAGTTGTTTTCCAAACGGCTTTGTGAGCCGTGGTCTATTTTGATAACCAGACAGCTAGCCCATTTCGATCATGTCATATCTGACAAAAGGTTGAACAATACTTTCAGCAACCACTTACAACCGCATTCCCCTCTGCGCAGTACCCCGCCATCCTGGTCCGCCCCGCCTGCATCCTGGTGTCTCTCTTTGATCAGCGCGCCATCATCACCGCCCGCGAGGTCCTCGTCTTTGACCCTGAGTCGCGTGATGCCTGGGGCGGCGGCCGCCCGCGAATACCCCCCCTCGCGCGCCTCCTCGCACAGCGCCTGCAGACAAACAGGGACGAGCCAGCCGACACTGCAAGTCCGCTGAAAGAAGAGCAGGACACGATGCAAGAGTTGGACAGCTGTCGGAAGTGCGGGCAGACCAGGGCGGAGTTGAATGGCGGGGTGGAGGCTGTACGGGAGGGTTCGTCCGAGCTATACGCCCCGCTGCAGGCGCTGCGCATGGCGCAGCTGATGGACCGGGAACGGCTGTACCGCGTTAAGCGCGACGAGCGCTGGCTACGGGGGGTGACAGAGTCGCTGCAACAGGCAGCCAAGGAAGCGGGGGTTCCACTCTCGAGCAGCGTACAAGAGCTGGAGGCGCGCGCGGCCAGTTTGGCAGTGCAACGGAGAGAGATCAAGCACCGGCTGGCGGCCCGGCAGGCGGACATCTTCCGGGCGCGCGAGAAGGTGCTGTCGAGCCGCATCGGGCGGACGCTGCAGGACGGGCGGGAGCGGCACGCAGAGGCAGTGACGTCAGCGGCGCTAGTGGGCATGTTCAGCGAGGCGAACAGCGTGCGTGACAAGCTGGGCCTGGCGCCTTACGCTCTGTTGCCAGAGGGGATGGCGGGGGGGGAAAGAAAGCTGGCCGTAGGACCCCCTGAGGAGTGCCGGCACCATTGGACGGAGTGGGAGTGCGCCGGGCCGCGGTCACCAGTGACTGCCACGTCACCTGCGGCGCTGATCCAGAGGGGACTTCCTGAGGCCGCACTGCCGTTCGAGCTGCGCGTGCTGGAGGTGATCCTGGACGACACGTGCCGCACGCTGGCGGACAAGTATGACGTGAGTGCACGTGCAAGGCGTACCTGTGAGCAGAATTGCGTTGCTTGCATGTTGGATCTGGAAGCTGACTCTCTCGCTCTATGTTATCCGCCTTCAACAGTCTGCATGCCCATGTAGCTGACAGCTTAGCTTTGGTCTGGTCTCGCTGCGCCACTCATTGAGAGCAGAAAACAGCTGGAAGGCAAACTCTCGCTTTTCGTTGACACCGCTTGCTTTGTCCGTCCGATGAATGTTTTTGGTTATAATTTCAGCTTCTCGCTGTCGATCAGCCGCCGTTTTTTAGAGAAGAAACCTTTGTTTCTCATTTATTCGATCATATTCTGCACAGCATTTCGTGCCCCCTTTGAAGAGTATCTTGTCTCAGCTACGGGGGTTCGATGCGGTGCAGGGGTTGCGGCCTGACGTGGAGGGCGTACTGGACAAGCTGGAGGCGAACGTGAAGCACCGCCGCGCGCTGCAGCAAGAAGAGCAGACCAAGCTTATGGGCCTCAAAACAAGGTGTGGAAGCACGCCCCGCTCTGCGAAATTGGTTCGAGAAGGAAAAGTGCATTCGCTAGAGTAGGATCCTCAAACAGGTCGACCTCATGAGGGGTTATCCGAGGGGGAACGGGGTAGTATCATGAACTCGTCTGGGAAGAGAGGGACCGTTGATTGCACCATCTTTTGTTGAACCGGTTGCTTTGTTTCGTGCTTCGTAGCCTGTAGGATGGAGAACCCTCCAGTGTCCATGATCACAGATCCGTTCAATGCCGGATTTGGCGGCCTCCAGTGGCAGCTGGCGGCTGTATTCTCCAAGTTCAATCACGTGTTCATCTTGAGATTACTGACTTCGTCAAGAGTTTCGAACTTCGCCTTGGAGCCAACGTACGAAGGCCTGCGACTGACGGGCCTGCCTGCGCGTGCTTGTTTCAGATTGCTGCGGCTGCAAGGCGAGGTCGGCGCGATCAAGGCCGCGCTCGAGAGCATCCTCGACAACGACGAGGTGACATTCGCAGCCTGAAAACGACTCAAACGACTGCACATTCTCACGCTCTTGCTTCGCGTACGCTTTAGGACCTTGAAGTGCATAAGCTTCTTCCGACTTGACATCCTGTTGTGTTGCTCTGCTTGCAAATGCGGACTACTTTTGGATGCGGCGACGAAATACCTCGTCGAAGGTATTTATTTTGAAACGGTCCTACGGGTTTCCTTTAGGTCCGCTGGCCGTTCTCGATTATAAAGCAAAACCTAGTCGCTCCCAGGAGTAGCTCAGGACCTTCATTTTTAAAGTACCTTTTCGATTCAATGCTCTCTCTTCGATGCAGGACATGTCCGATCTTTACCTGACCGCAAAAGCAGCTGGCAGGCCCCCACACAAGGATCAGCACGAAGAGGTGAGCGCCCACGACTGAGCTTTTCCATCCCAATTGGCTGCTGCTAGAGAAGCGTTTCCGCTCTTACGTGCTCCGTTGTCTTTACCTTTGCACCTGATTGTGCTCAAAGCAGCATCAAGCGGTCGTGTTCGATCGAACGAAATAAAGACGTCATAGTATCCTGAGAACCTTTCACTCACATATGGAGGATCGTGACATCGCTTTCGAGGAACTTTGTCTCCAGTGTGAAAGTAAAGGTACCCGATTCGTCTCACGGGCGCGAATCTGCCGTTGTTCTTATCGTTATGCAGCGTCGTTCCGCGCACTTTCGCTTTTCGGATGCTCAGCCCTGATGTGGTATGCAAGTGGCCAGGCTCGCGTCGTGTGGAATCCGACCCTTGCTCGTTGGTCGCAGGCGGAGGAGCTGTTGGAGAATGCGGCGCGGCGCGTCGACGACGTGGAGAGCACGCTGTCGCAGCTGATGGAGAAAATGAGCTTCCGGGAGGAGCACATGCGCACCATGCTCGACAGGTAAAGCAGCCCCTCACCCCTCTTAACCCGCTCGGAGACAGGTTTCAGTCAGAACGTCGCCGGAATATTGTGGAATATTGTGCATCGTCGGTTCGGTCGCTGCGAAAGACAGAGCACACGGCCGGGAACTCTCGCCTTTCTTCGACGCTGGCTGACCTTTCTTGAGCGCCTGTCTAGCGGAGGTGCATCCTCGCGCATCCAGGCTAACGTCTCGAGACTGATGCTTCACGGCAACTGTCATAGATTCCCTGCAAATCCCCAGTTGGTTCCGTCCAAGGATCCGCTAGATCAGCTTGTCGAACTGTGGCCAAAATAAACAGCGGCTCTGACAATCCTAAGCAGACTGGTGACTGCTGCTGACAACTGGCCTAATCTGGCATGCAGTCAAAGGAACGAGCTGCTCCGGCTGGACGTACGGCTGAATTTGGGCACATTTTCCATCGCATCTGGGGGCACGGTTGCTGCCCTCTTTGGCATGAACTTGTTTTCCGGGTTGGAGGAGAGCCCGTATGCCTTCCTTGCGGTTGCTGGTTCCGTGGTGGGCTTGTCGGCCTTGTTCTATAGCTCAATTCTGAGACACTCTGTAAAGAAAAGGATACTGTAAATAAGGACGACAATGAGACTCCGTTATACATCGAAATCTCCTGTGGGGCCTGCTTGGGCCTTCAAAATCCATGGTGCGCGGAATGCATTTGTATGAGTTCGCTGCATTATTTGCAGGCCGCCCTCCGCTCGGTCAAATGGGCGGCAGCTAGTATTTTACAAGTACGTCAGTGACATTGAACTCTGGCATTGAAACTGTGATCATATACTATATAGCCGACCTTCCGCTTGCCAGCTGATCCAACAACGATCATTGACGTCGCGCGCGGCTCTGCATACTTTATACCGTCATACACTAGCTGCACAGTGACATGTTGAAACAATGCCGCGCGCGGCTATCAATATATGGCGGATTCTCTTTTGCGGCGCGGCGGGCGGCACGGTCTGATCAAGAATTGTGTGCAAAGATCAACCGACGACGCCAGTCCGCGGTGCACGCGTTCCCTGGCATTCGGCCATTTGTTTGTACTAACTTAAGCTATAGGGCGGCTAGAGGGGACATGACGAGCTGGCATGCGCATGCAGGCATGGCCCGCCCGCAAAGTCGAGTCCCGGCGGGACCGTCCAACGTATATATAGCTCTCAGATCCTCATTAGGCTCACTTCATGAGAGCCTAGCTGCCACTGATGGGGATGCGGCCCCGCGGGCCGGGGGCCGCGGATCGATTCTTCTAAATGAAGCTGCATGGCAAAGTTGCATACGCACACCGCCAACTTGAAGCCAGTTATATGTCACTGGGCCGGCCCCCGATGCATATGGAGCCTGAGTGTAACGCCCCACTTGTATTAAAGCGCTCTTATCGAAGCTCACGGACAGTACATAGTTGCAGCATGCAGTCAGGATCGACGCATCGATTGCCGCCACCGTGACATTTTCGGAGACGCCGCCGCTTGCTCGACCAATGATCCAATCAGTCGGACGGACCTCGGACAGATAAGTTTATAGAAGCTAGCCAACATTAATTGCCTTGCATTCATGGCGTGATGCCAATGTGATCGATGGTAAGTGCCGTGGGCACGCCGTGCCAGCATTGAAGTGTTGGGCCGTTGGCAGTGGCCGTGTTCATTACACGTTCAATAGGTAGACCGTCGCCGCCGATTGTTGGTTGGTTGGGGAGCCTTTCGGCTTTGAACTTGAAGTTGTGCACGGTAGGTATCTCGATTCCGCATGCAGAATCAATCGAGTAGGAGCACGTACCGGGCACCTCAATGGCGAAACCCTATACAGCAGTTTCGGGGCAGGCCTGCCCCGAAACTGCTGTAACTCAAAAAATCTCGCAGTTCGCTCTTGCACACACCCTAAGCCGGTTGGCTTAGGGTGTTGTGTTGGACCGGCGGGGTTAGTTAGGGGCCTAAGCCCCTAACTAACCCCGCCGGTCCCCCGGGTGCTTACCCCTGCCTGATGAGCTAGGTAGTTGCCGATTCCGGAGTGATGTCAACAGAATCATGCAAGAGCGACCAGCACAATCAGCACTGCACGAGCGATATCGACGGTAGAGCGCCCGGCTGCTTCGCCAATCGACGGTAGAGAGGATCTTCAATTCAAACAGCCATAGCTCACGGCTCAAATTCAAAATCACATCTCTGGCAGAATCCTGAGCAGAGAGAAAAGAAGACCTGAGGCTGAGCTCAAGTTGAGGCTTGAGCGGCGAGCCTCCACAACTTCAACATTTGAAGTTTGTACCGTAGGTAGATTGTGACTGGCCGGCCGTTGCAGGACCTCGGAGTTGAGCGCCCTCGGAGCGCCTGGTGCTACCTGCTGCTACCTAAATGTTTTCAAATCTTTTGCCAGGAGGGCAGTAGAGAAATGTTTGAAAGCTTGTTGCCGTGTGCCGTAGTGTTGAAGCTACCTTACCAGAAGCGAACCACAATCTATGCTTGCAGAAGCAGAAGACAAGACCAAATATCTGATTAAGGACCTTTGAGTGGATGATGATATGTGAGGGGTCGCAGGAAAGGCTCTGCTTGCGGTGATAATTTCCCCTCAAGGTAAGCATGTCTTTGCAAGAGGGCATAATGTCCTCTAGCTATCCGTGATTCTACTCTGAGCGTTATAAGGGCTTGCACAGCAGGCTGACATGTATTCCTGGGTATCCTTAAGGCTTCAAATGCAAGTCTCTGTTCATTCCTGTTGTAGACAGGTCTTTTTGCAGGACTTTCCAGAAAGATACACAGCTTATCCTGAAAAGAAAAAACTGCAATGCAATTGATAGGAAATTAGTCTGGCACTATTTGGGAACCTGCTGAGCGCCTGCCCCACAAAATGCATCTAGTCTTCATCACTTTGGTAAGTGCTCGGATAGGAACCACGCAAACCCCAAGCCTGAACAAGTGTGTGCCGCTACCATGTTGTGAGCAACCGGGAGCAACGCAGGGTGACTGGGTGACAGGGTGACTGGCTGCAGATTAACACATTGCCCCTGCAAAACCAGCTCAAGCTCCCACTTCAGTCTCAGAAGATACGAAACCAATTGCAGGTACAATGGATGGCGGCAAGATACTCAGCCTCAAGTGGGCCAACCCGGAAGGGTTCAGTTTGCCAATTGTCCCAGGTGCCCCTCGTGCCTTAGGCGAAAGCACGCCCACGGGGACTTCTGCCAACAAAGAGAACAGCCAGCAACAGCCACTGGCCCCACCTCTGGGGCGGGTCAGAGAAGCGGCATTGGCTCTGGAGAGGCGGGCGAAAGCAGAAAGCGAGCAGGAGAAGGGGAAAGGAGGTGCTGGAAGCAAGGAGGCACTACGGGACGTACCAGAGGTGTTACAGCGGGGGTCTCTGGTCAGAGAACCACTCTTTGTGGCCCCAGTGCCAGCAACTGTTGGGGCGGGTGCGGCCAGCGAGAGGGCAATAGTTCTTGGCACAAAAGGAGGTCAAGAAGACACGCACGGCGTGCATGATGTGCCGGTCCCTGCGGAGACTTGCCAATCACTTGAGGGCGTTGAAAAAGCGGTCAAGCAGCCTCAAAGCCCACTTTCCGAAATCCCCAAAAGTGTGTTGGGGGCCAGTCATGGTCCCTGGGGTGTGACGCTGCTGCGCCGCACAAGCGGGAGAAGTGAACAGGAAGCCCGAAAAGACAACGAGAGTGAGCCCGTCGCAGCAGGCGACACAGCGACCGGTGCCTCTGCTGCAGCAGGAGACAGCAAAGAAGAGGGGGGACGGGTCAGCGTGAGGAGCCTGCTGCAGATGTGGACTCGCCAAGAGGTGAGGCAACAAGAGTCTGCTGCGGTCTTCTTTGCAGGACTGGCTTTGAAAATCCAGAAAAGCCCCTTTGGGACTTGTTCTAACTTCTAAGAGTAAAGTATGTCTCTGGTGCTGCGCTTTGTGTTGAAAGCAGGGGAGGTACGTAGTGATTCTCAGTCCTCATCTATCGTGCATTTTAAGGACTTGCTAGGCTCAATGGCACCCAATCTGCTCTCTTCAATGTAAGTCTGTCTTGGGCACAGCTTACTCGAAAATGCCGCAAAGGGTAGACCACTTTCAGATCTTCCATATGGTTCTGGCTTCTAAACGTTCTTTCTTGACCGAGTAGCTGCAAAGCTTGTGCTGAGCTTCATGCTTAAACTCGAAAGTCAATTAAACTGGTTGAGGATCTCAATAACTCAAATAGATAAAGGTGTTTGTTGTAATGTTATGCTTGAGCGAATGGTACGGAGTTTGATTGCAGGCAAGCCCTTCATCATGCTGCAGTGCGTCTTGTTTCGGAATGTACTCTAAGGGAATGTACTTCTTGTGTCCACATTCTTCTCATTATGTGCTGGAGTGCACTCTAATTGCAGTCACTTCATTTCTGTCTTTTTCTTCCCCCCAGGCAAGCACCACCGCCCCAGCTAGCCAGCCCAGAAGCGCTCCGGACCGGCCCCCCGAAGCCTTGAATCTTCCGGAGCAGCCTGCCAAGGACCTTCCCTCCAACATCCAAGAGCAGGGCCCGTCCGCTCACCTCACGTCCACCACTGCTCTGCAACAGATTGGGACCTTCACCACTGTCCCTTTGGGAGAACTCGGGCAGGCACCTGCTGAGAAACACTCCTCGCTTGAACCTCTTTCTGCGGAACGTGAGCTGTTGAGCGCACCAGGGCAGGTTGACCAAGAGCCGCAAACGGGGCAGCAGCCACTTGGGGGAGAGAGGTTAATACAACCCAAAGCCCTGGTTGTTATAGAGACGGAGACCCCTACAGCAGACCAGCGGAGTTCGACTAGCCCACCTTGGGAGACTCTGCCGTCTGCCCAGGAGCTGAGCCCCCTCAAGGTGGCGGGGGCCAACCAAAGCCTGGTCTCAGCACCCGGTGTGGCGGCTCTGGCAACCCCGCCCGGCGTTGCGGGGGTATTCTTCCGCCCTAAGAAAGTCGCCTGGCGAGCGGGATCCACGGAGGGGCGGAGCACGCAGAGCAGGAAGGACCGGGAGCCAGGCGCGGTGTCGGGGGCATCGCAAACCAGTGCTGACGTCAGCAAAAAGGATGCGGAGCCTGAACTGAAGCAAGGAGGGGCTTCGGCGGTGCCGATGGAGCCTGCGGCGAAAGTTCAGATGATGCCCCTTGTCTCAAGCCCCTCCAAGGAAGCACTCAGCCCTTCGCTCTCAGGGGAGCCGGGGCACAATGGAACAACCCTTGCAGCTTCCCCGTCCCGTGTCGGACCAGCCGCTCCTTACCCGGTCACAACCGTGCTTGTGCCAGAGGTGCCAGGACCTGGTAGCTTCTCTGAGGCTGTTGCACCCACAGAAAGTCGCCCCACGTCACCCCCCCCGACTCCAGCTGCGACCATGTACTCCAGCCCTGCCTCCCTCAAGCGGGGGACATTCTTGGTGTCGCCGCAACCCCCCATGCTTGGGGACGGGTCTAGTCCCTTGGGCATGCAAACCGCAGTGTCCGGCAGCCCCGCTGGCTCGGCAACCCCGCCAATGGGCGGGCAGAGCGCTCCGCCCATGTCAGAGGAAGTCGTATCTCCTGTAGCGCACCGGCCGCTGCTCTCGGCATCGTCCTTCTTCAGCCCCCTGTCCGCCGGTCGAGCAATCACAGGAGCCGTGAACGCTTCCCCACCTTCCTCCGTCGTCCGGACAGGTTCCCCCTACCCGGGTAGCTTCCCGCTTCTCACATTGGCCCCCGAGGAAGAAACCCCAGCTGAGCCCGTAGTCTGCCTTCAGGGGGGGCAGTCAGACAGCGGTGACGTGTCCCCGCCCAATTCTCCAGCTTCCCTTCCCCCGGCGAGCCCCCGCCTCGCTTCGGCGTCCCCTTTCTTCAGCCCCCAGGCAGTCAGGAAGCCAAGCACGCCGGGGGCCGCAAGGAGCCTCTTCTTAATCGGGGGGCCAGGCGAGACCTTGGGGCCGCGCTTCGAAGCAACTGCCTCAGGGGGATCTGCGAAGGGAGACCCAGAAGAGAACGAAGAGGGCAGTGCAGTTGCTTCTGTGGAGGTCGGGGATGCTGTTCGAGGTGGCCAGGAGAGGGTCGATTCGCCCCCGCCTATGGCTGCGTCACACTTCTTCAGCCCTCGCAAGGTAGCGCCCTCAGTCCACTTGCATATTGGGTTTGCGGGGCTCGTTAGCAGCGGGTTAAGTGGGGGTTATTCGGCGCCAACCCAGGAGCTGGAGGGGGTTATTCTGCCCAGCGCGCAAGCGCCAAGTGAAGACGGATCGACTCCCTCAGACCACGGCGCTGCTGATGCAGTGCGCCCAATCTCGCCGCCCCCAGCCTGTGCTGCCGGCTTCTTCAGCCCTTCGAAGCCCGCCTTTTCCAGGGCCTTCAAACGGGCTGAGATCGAGAAAAAGTGTCTTGACGCCGCCCTCGGGAAGTTCCAAAGGGGACCCGCTATTCTGCCTGGCGCCAACGCCGAGGTGTTCTTTGATGCGGGGGAAGATATGACACCGTATGCCAGCGCCAATTGTTCTCCCATGAGCGTGCCCGGCAGCAGCCCCGGCAGCGAGAGGTTCGGGCCGTCTCGCAGAGTGTGGGAAGTGGTCGAAGAGGAGGCAGTGGGGCGTCTCGTCGAGTCTTGCACCGGATTGGCAAGGGGGCCCTCCTTTGATGACGTCAAGGAGGTGGCTGCGGATATGGGCCCAGGTGAATGGCGGGTTGTCAGCCAGCTGGTTGCTGACACGTGGCAATCCGACGGCCCGGTTGCAGGGCTTGGGGACGGGGCCAACGTGGAGGGAGAGGGGAAGAGGAGCGAGCTGGGCTCGAGCCACGTGTTGGACTGGAATTCGCCGGACCACCAGAAGGTGCGGACGCCGCCGTACAGGAGCGGCATGGCGGGCATGGGGCAGCGGGGACAGGTGGCGGAACCGACGCCCGTTCCTCGTTCCGCAGCAGGCCTGTTTGCCGAGGCAAAACCGCACCCGGACGGTGAAAGGGCTCTGGCTAGTATGTACGTGTCCGTGCAACCGGGGGTAGAGGCAGCGGGCAAGGGGGATCCCCTGGAGGCGGAGAGCAGCGCAGACCCGACGGTGGGAGAAGCCGTCCCCCTGAAAACCTCTGAGAGATTACTCGAAGGCTCCGGTCCGGCTGCCGAGGACCTGCTCCAGCCTTATGGAGTCGCACCCAAATCTGCCAAGGAGCCGGTGACTGTGACACCAGGGCATATGGCGGCAAGGGAGGCCGTCGCGAGAAACAGCAACCCCCCGCCCGCTGAAGAATTGCAGGCAGCTGCCCCCCGGGACACGTCCCCAAGTCCCTCGAAGCCCGGCCTGTGGTCGTCTTTCGTCGGCGGACTTCGTGGGATGATCACCCCTCCGAAGCTGACCCCCCCAAAGCGGACAGGGCCACCGCAAGAGACTGAGGCTGTAAGGAGGGCTAGAAACGGCCCCGTTTGGGGAGGCCAAGCGGAGGTCGCTTCGGGGGGTGCATTTCAGCCGACGTGGGCGTCCCCCCAGAAGGAGCAAGGGACTGGATTGACGTGCGGAGCAGGACCGGAGGAGGATTTGGTCGTCGGTGGCGGAGGCGGCAAAGAGCCGAACGAGACAGCCAGATCAGAAGTTGCAGAGCGGAAGTAAGTCACTTCCCCGCAATGTTCATTACAGCCGTGCCGCTGCATTCTCGTGCAAGGTCAATCCTTCTTCATGAGGACTGTTCGTTACATTTGTCAATGTCGATGAGATAGCGACAAGTGGGCACTCAAAAACTGGGTTTTAGAAAGGGCCGCATGGTTTGCAGATTGCGCAGTTCTCAACATCAACGACAATACATGTCCGAACAACGAAAAACCCAATGCTTTGCTGCGGAAAACACACTGTCGAACGCCAGGTGTGCTTGTAACGCCAAAGAGCTTCCGCGCTGAAGGCCTGCACTTTTGAACACTTCCGAACGGCCCCCCAATAAGCCTTTCTTAAGATGATTGTCAGGTGCTCAATTTTTGTTCTCGCAGCTTCGTACGACGCGATCCGCGCTTCGTTCCGACTTATGCAGAATTCTCCATTCGCTCTCTTTTCTGGTCAGTTTTGACTTATTGCTTTGCACCCGTGCTGACAAGTACCTTCTTCTTGCAGTGACTGGACGGCTTCGTTCTCGCCGACCCCGTTCCCGAAACCCGCCTCCCGCATCACGGCAGCCGAGAACACGCCGACCTCCCAGGAGGAGACACGTGGCGACTCGTCAACGCTGCCAGCTGGCAGCCCGGAGCGGCAGAGAAGCGCCTCCCCAAGAACGCCCCCCCTGGCGAGCGTGGCCTTTGGCTTTGCGTCACGAAACGCAGCACCCCAAACCACTCCAGTCCGCCCAGGCCCCAGTCCGCCGCAGCCCGAAACCCCGGAGCCAGCCTCTCCTGAGCCCCAGCCAGAGCCGGAGACCCCTGCCGAGGTCGAGTTTTCCCCCTGGGAGCGAATGCAGATGGCAGCCATCTTCGAGCACTTCCAGGGGGCGACCAGCCAGCTGGGTGCGCGCGCATTCTTCAGCGGGGAGCGGGGGACGCAGCAGAACGATGAGCCGCCTGAAACATTTGTGGCCTCGGAATGGGGGGGTGAGGGCGCCGTGAAGAGGTGCGTGAGCGCGGAGAGTGGCGACAGCTGCTTCGAGCTGCCTCCCCAGAAGGTGTTCAGGGGAGCGGTTGAAAGTGACGATTGCTATGACGTCGTCGATCCCATCGTGCGGGCGGTGCAGGGTGTGCCAGCTGGCAGCAGCCCGTTGGTCAACTACTACGACGTGGCAGAGACTGCGCCAGCGGTAGAAGCGGTGGGTGTGAAAGGGTCCACCGGGAGACTTCCGGTTAGCAGGCCCGTTTACGGAGAAGTCCTGAACAGCAAGCCGCTCGAGCGTGCTCACAGCGGGGTTAGGAAGCCGGGTAAAGCCGAGGTTAAGGCAGCTTACCCCTGGGTTACCGATCCGTCGCCCACCCTTACCCGGTGGCTGCAGAGCAATAGAGACGAAGAGGCCTCGTTTTGGGCCCCGCCCTCGAAGCCGGAGCCTGTACCGAACTGGGCCAGGGGCGCCCCCGGCAAAGACGGGGCCTTCGTCGGGCGCAAAACAGGCGATCCTGTCTTAGCCGCGCCGACCGGCCCAATCCCTTTTCCGAAAGCTTCGGGCGACCTGCAGGCTATGCGACCTGCTCAAAAGTCGCCGGAAAGACCTGCGCAGGCTTCCTCGACCACGGCGCGCGCCCGCAAGGGGCCCGTTCCCATTGACCAGCTGAAGCCCCGTCATGACCCGAACAAGAAGTACTTCCCGGCGCGTGTGAATGAGCTCCGAGGTGCTCGAGGGGGGGAAGTTCCAGCGGCAAAGCAAGGGGGGGCAGGCGATGCTGGTCTGAATGCGGGGCGCAACTCGTTTTTGGCGCCAGCCGGGTCCCCAAACCAGTCTGGGTTTGCGAAACGGGGCAGGTCTGCCTCCGTAACTGACCGAGCGCAGGAGCAGCGCAACGCCGCCAAAGAGGGCCTCAAGGCGTTCAGGAGCCTCACGCCCCTGCGCTTCCGCAGTGCAAAAGCTGACCCAAACAAGGGAAATCAGGGTAGCCCTGACGTAGCGCCCTCTCGCTCCGAGCCCCCCAGCCCGGCCCCCGTGACGCAAAGCCCAGTCAAAGACTCCCCAGTTAAAACCCGGCTTCTTTTCCGCCGGACCAGGACGGAATCCGTTCCGGTCGCGGACTTTCGACAGACAGTCGCCCCGGACGTTGGCGAAGACAAGGAGAACGCGAGTGAGGTCAGCACGCCTGTCAGTGACGTCAGCAAGATGACGCAGGGCGAGGCCGGTGCTGGTGACCCGGGAGCTAAACGTGCCAGCGGCTTGGGAGGATCATCGGACTGCTTCGACCGGGCGCTGAGCTTGAGGGACCCCAACAGAGAGCCCGCCCTGGCAGCGGACTACGTCGACATGAGCCCCAAAGGTAAACTTGAAGGTTTCGTTGATGGTTCAGCTCGACGCGGAGAAAAGGTTTGAGTTTCCTCTCGAACAATGGAAGGGGTGTGGAAATCTGGACATGCATTCTGCCGAATTTTTGACTCACCAAGCTTCGGAATTATCAGCAGTCTATTTGCGTGTTGCGTCATGCATTGCGGACGGACTCTTTTGTCAACTGTTCTCCGCATGCCTCTGACAACAGAGTCATCGTTGAATAGGCCTGTTGACTACAATCTTTCATTCGGCAGGCGTTTTCGAGACTACGTCCTCCAAGCTTTTGGAGCGACCTGAAGTCTTCTGCTCATTCTTCCCTCCACGTTTTATGGCGATCGACTCTGTGGTTTCAGAACCCGCACCTGTTCCTTGTGTTTTCTTGTTGCATGGAGAAGCACATCGATTGCAAGCCAGTCCTGACTTAACGAAAGTTTGTAGTATCGTTCTTCTCCTCTTAGGAGCTATAAACATTGCACTAGACCAACACTCGGTGATGTCCTTTCGATTCGTTGCAGATGTGCCCGTCAAGCCTGAAGCGGCCGCTGAGGCGGCGTCGCTTTGGGAGCCCGCAGTCAGCGACGTGGACCCGCCTTCCGCCTGGGCGCATCTGTCGCCAGCGTAAGCACAGCAGCTTTCCCTTAGCAGAAACTAAATACTTGACACGGCCGAGACGACTCCCTCTTCTGCAGCTGCCGTATCCACCTAGCTAGGACCGGTGTGACACTTTCAATGTGGGAGTGGTGGACAACGAACCGACAGGTTCACTTTCGACAGTCTGCATGAATCCCTCCTTCGAAACAGGTCCTGCAGTGGACCTGAGGGGGAAAGTCCTGAAGCTGACTTCCCGATTTGTTGCTTGCTATGCCGTAGCGAGACATCCAACCGTTGTGAATTGGTGAGTTTGGCGGCAAGCTGAATCAGTGTCTTTTTTGTTCGGCTTGTCAAGCTACCGCGACGGATCGTGAGTGGGAGTGCAAGATCATCGCGAAGAGCCTTGATGCGGCGTCGTTCCGCAAAGGCATTCTGCTGCCCAGCGCATCTGGCAAACACTTAGGTCGGCTTCTTTGGTCCGCTTCTTGCCTAGTGTGCCCTTCGTCAGAGAGACGAAGATCGTACCCCGTGGATAACCGACCAAAACTAAGCCTGGGGCACACCAATTTCGCTTCAGCCGCTTTTTAGCTCACTCATACCCCTGAGCTCCTCCCTGCTGTGCAGTGACCTGGTGGCCCGCCCGCTGCCGTCGCACGTGGAGGTGTGCCGCTGCTACGTGGTGCGCGAGCACGCCTCCAAGCTGGGCACCGGCGGGCTCTACACGCTCTTCACCGAAGTGAGCGCCACGTGGCACCGACTCTGAAAACGTCCGGTTTTGCTTCCGGCTGAGGTTTACTTGTCATGCTACGTACCGTATTTGAGATTCGAGACTGTTCGAGGATTAGCGTGAGCTCGCAGTTCTCTCTGTTTGCTTGGCTTTGCTTAGCAACGCTTTTTGAGCGAGCGAGTAATACATGCTGATTACTGTCCTGTACGAACGGGTCTGTGGCCAAATTGAGGGCTGTACAGCCAGATCGCGATCAGCAATACAAACGTCTATTTGCATGTATGAGGCAGTTTCTGTCGTGTCCATCACCTGCGGACGATTTGCGACTGTGACTTCGTTCTGCTTTGACCTTCCCTATCCGGAGCCAATGAAGGATTGCGTGTCAAATGAAGAAGTGCTTCATCGCCCCATCTCAGATTGTCGCCGTCTCTCTTTTTAGGAGGGGGAGGGCCGGGAAGACCGTCAGCTCTTGGTTGCCCGCCACGTGCGCCACGTGGGGCGGTCCGAGTTCGTGATTGCGGACAGCGCCGAGCAGCTGGGCGAGAAGGGAGGGCCGCGCTGCGTGCTGCGGGCCAACTTTGTGGGGTCCAAATACACCGCGCATGCGCGCGACATGGAGGGCAAGATCACCGAGGAGAACAAGCTGGCGGAGATCGGGTGAGGGCAAGGTCAAAAGGTGTAGGACGTGCAAGTTGTTTTCTGATCTCACGGCACCAAACCGTGTGCAATCTGCCGTGCGAGTTGTCAGAATTGAGAAACCGTCGGTATTAGCGGATAACGTTCGTCAGATCTCGACGCTCACTCTGACTTTTCTGTTCTCGTCACTTGAGAGTGAAGCTACGGGCCGGGGGCTTTACTCAGTGAGATGGTGATGACGTGGAAGTGGCGCCATTAAGAGCCGAAGTCTCTCTGAGACTCTGAAGGCCTTGAAGGAAATTGAGGGCTGTCTTTGAATCCTCTTTTCTTAAGTCGATCAAAAGGCAATCACATTGCTAGGAAGGGGACTTGTCCGGCTTCCTTGCAATGGTGTTTTGCACGTCCGACCGATCTGGTGCAGAACGGCTCTTTGCATGAATACTGGATAATGCAAGAACGGGAGATAAACGAAGGTGTTTTAAAAGGTGTTGAAGACTCGAATTTTGAAGAGCTGACGTCACTCTTTACCCGACTGTACTGGCTTCCGTCCGGCTTTCTGAAACGCTTTTTTGGCGTTAGCGGCAGAATAGACGCTGGCAGAAGAGCTAAGGGTATTCTCCGGTTGTTCCAGGTACGCCACGACGGCGACCAGCCTGGCCCCCACGTCCCGCCGCATGCTCGTCACGCTGCCCGTGACTGACGGCGCGCAAGAGCCACCATTGGCCCTCGTCTCCAAGGCCCCCCTGTTCAACCAGGCAAGCGATCCTGACGAGTCTCCATTTCAAAGCTCGGCAGTCCTCGTGGGGCGAATTGTCCGCAACTTCCGGTGTGTCCAGCTTTAACGGGAGAGCTTCTTAAGCCAGAGAAGTGCTATTCTTCGAGCAGCAAACGCTTTGTCAGCTTAGCGAGGCTTATGCGTGACCTTGGCGCATTTCTCCAGGTTGCCAGGAGCAATCTAAAGCAGGAGGTCAAACCCACTCTGCGGATTGTTGACTCAATCCCGGCACTCCGCGGGAGGAATCTTAACGGCCTTCATAACAGCGGAGCTCTGCATCCGCCGACCGGCCATGAAAGCAAAAGTATCATCAAGCCAATTCAACCCCGGACACTGCCTTGACGTCCCTCCAACTGCTTCGCCTCGTGGACATGCCCGATGTCCTTGACACGTGTCAACTTTTTGACGTGCAGGAGCACAAGCGGTTCGAGATCAACTACGGCGGGCGTGCGAAAGATGGCGCGGGCATCCAACAGTCCGTCAAGAACTTCCAGCTCGTGGCCGAGGTGAGGCTGCCACGTGGCTCTCATGCTCTGATGTGCAGTTGTCCCTGTTTAGATTCCAGGGACCTCTTTCAATGTGCCGCCGATCTCTCTGTCAGAATATTGATATGGGTATATCCTTCGAACTTCGCCTCTAGTCTAATAACAGACGGTCGCTTGATTGTCTGACCGCAGGCAATTGCTAAAGTGTTCGTATCTTAGGCTTCCCTTTCGTACTTTCCCTCTGATACATGTGCATTTGAGTCACGTCAGCTTTTAGAACTGTGTAGAAGCTCCTGTGGCATTTGCTCGGCCACGACGACTCGTGCAGCGCAGACACACAGCTGCGACTTCATTTTTCCGCTCCAACTTGACGGCGTGCTTACGTTTCTCCAGGCCGCGGAGGACCGCACTTTGCTGCTGTTTGGAAAGGTCGGCAAAGACGTCTTCGTGATGGACTTCAGGTGAGGTCTCACGCTGTGTCACACTGTGCGAGACTGGTTGGATCTTATCAGGAAAGTACTGGACTGGAGAGCTATCGACAAACAAGGGACGAGGTTGTATTGCTGTATCATGGGCACGTCAACTGTCAAATGTGAGATTACACCACTTGAGGGCCACTCGTCAGGCAGGCCGTTCAGTCAAGCGCTCTACTGCCTGAGCGATCACAAAAGAGCCTGCTTCTGTCGTAACTTTTGTCTCTTCCTCTCCTTTCCGGAAGAACGCTTAAGCAACGTAGTTCCTTTGGACCGTGTCTACAGGACGAGATCCTAGTATCCCAGACTCAAGAAAACATGCCGACAGTTTCGTACCACTTGGCTCTCAGATACTCTTATAGATCGATCACTATCTACCCTTGGAACTGCAAATAGATAATAGAAGTGCTTGTGTCTTGCAGGCCGCCTTTCACGGCCACTCAGGCCTTCGCCATCTGCCTGTCCTCCGTTGACTCGAAGCTGTGTTGCGCCCTGTGACAACCATCTTCGGTCAAAAGACAGTCGCCCCACAAATGCCCATATACACGAACGCTGTCTTTTGTTGCTTTTCCTGTGGGATGGGTCGAGGGCGAAGACCAGTTGGCTTAGAAAATTCTAGGTTTTCGAGCTTTCCGTTTTGAAATCACATGTCGGTTTAATCGCTGTCTAGAACCAATCTTCAAGAAGTAGGTCCACCCCCGAACGAAGCTTCGTTGCCAACTTCAGACAAAGCAGATCAGGCTATGTTCACGAATCACGACCCACTTGTGGAGTTCTCTAGCCGCTTACAAGTCCTGTAGTTCCGCCTCAAGAACTTTCGTCAGTTGACCCTTGAAGTCACATTCAAGCTGGACAGAGGTTCCACTGTCTTACCTATCAATTACTTGCGGGGTCGTCCGGTGGCCTTAACGGTCCAGCACTCGTCTTTAAAGGACCAACGTGCTCCACCTTCATCATTGCATACAATTGTCCGTTGTGCAAATGAATCAAGGGCAGACAGAATAATGACACCGGACTGGGTTCGGTTTCTTGATGCATTGAAAGTATCGAAAGATTTCGGTAGCCCCGTACAGATTTACATGTACGGTATAGACAAACTTCAATCCACGCATTGATTGGCTAGTATACAGTGGGTAAAAGAGCTTAGTAGGCCGGGTCAGGCATTCAAAGTGATGCCACGGTGTCGGTGGCAAGCCGTACCACATATGCCTGGAGCCAGGCAGCCTGCTGAGCTAGGCGGCGCGGCCACACAAGCCTGCACTGGGAAACACATGTACGTTAACGAGGGTCGGCAGCCGGGACTTATGAATCAGATATCGACGTACCCGGGCGGCCCGGCCCGCGAGGCGCCGACTCAGCGGTGGCCCGCAGGGCGGCCATGCTGCCAGGTGCAAGTGACCCCGGCCGCGCCGCTGGCACGCGGGCCTAGCCTTGCTGCGGCCAGGCCTAGCCTACAGGCTGTAGCTAGATCGTCGCGGACGTTGGATCGACCCGATCCGATTGAATGATCGGAACTTCATGCAGGGCTCAGCTATAGCTCTAGCTAGCGCAGTACTATGTATGCTATATATGTGGCTCAATATGGTTTGAACATGCATGTTATACCGTCTACATAGCTTGTACATATCGGACCGTACTGCACGTACGTCATATATGTGCATGCAATAGCAATGATGCTTACTTGGTAGAGCTCCGCAGGCTCTTGCCTAGTAGCTATAGCGCTAGCGATAAGTTCATATAGTATTGAGTATAGGCTACACCGTATACACTATATTGAGAGGGTGGCCGGCTTCAAGGCTTCTTGTCGAGAATTAACTTACA